TCAGCCAGCATTTGTAAATTCCAGCTTGCAGAATTTCAAGCTAGCATTGCTGGACTTCAACTCCCAGAATTCCTCACCCAGGAGGCTGGGGAATTGTGGGAGATGAAGTCCAGCCAGCATGCTTTGAGATGGGTGGACTTCAACTCCTAGAATTCCCCAGCCAGCATGCTTTAAGGCGGGCGGACTTCAACTCCCAGAATTCCCCAGCCTCCTGTCCAGCAATGCTAGCTTGAAATTTTGCACGTTGGAATTTACAAATGTTGGCTGAGGAATTCTGGGAGTTGTAGTCCATCCATCTTCAAGGGACATGTTTGAGAAACTCTAACATGACAGCAATCCCGAGTGACCCATCCTTTCAACTATGCGCAACCATTCTGAAGCAGCCCTCTTGCTCCCAGGGACCCCGAGACCCCTCCCCTTTCACACAAACACCCTCAAATCCTACCTTTACTCTCCTGAAGAACGGGTCGTCTTCTGTTTCCATCAAGTAGAACGAGAAGGGTTTTCGGCACGCTTCCTGGGCCACATTTGTCAGCTGGAAATGTAGTGCGTTGCGCAGCTCGGTGAGAAGATCCTCATAGACGAGCGGCGTGGGAGGTCGAGGTGGATACTGTATTTTGCTCACCTTTTCTGAGGTAGCTGTGGGGTCTCTATCCAGGGTGCGCGTCCGTGAGCTCTCCAAGGTCATCACCCTGCTGAACTCGGCAAACTCTTCGAGTACGGATGAGATATCCCGGGAAAAACTGTTCCGCGTAGGGTGGGTCAGTTTCTGGAGATGCGAAGAAGGGAAGGGATACTTCGGACCGAGTCCACCTCGGCTCCTCGACGCAATGGCTGGGGCAGAGGGATGCAGGCTGGCTGGAAACTGGTCGTAGATGTCATCGTTTCGGCACCTAGTCCGCGGATTTGGGTTGACGACGGTGACCAGTAGTGGACTTTTGCTCCTGGTGGGAAACCTAGCAATTGTCCCTTCCGAGACCGTTCCCGGCGACAACCCTTCGGCTATCCCTTGCGATGGGACCTTCTTGCTGGGAAGAACGCGGGAGGTAGAACGTTGCGATCTTTTCAGGAGCGCCTGGATCCTGCAGTGGAACCGCAAGGACTCCACGTCTAAAATGTTCTGAATCGGGTCATTCAGAAGACCCCAGTTCTTGCTCCAGGAGTTGATGGACCCCAAATCTCTGGAAAAAGGGTGGTGCTCTTTGGAGAATGAGTGGAAAGTCCTGCTTTTCTCCTTGTGCTTCTTGGTGACAGAGAAATTGATATAATCCTTGAAGGGCTGAGGTTTACGGTCCATGTCACCAGACCACAAGCAACCTTTTTTTAAACCCAAAGGAACGTTGCGTTTCATGGACCCGGCATCTGATGTCTTCTGACTAGCTTCTGAGGACACCCAATCTCCATCTTTACAAGTCTCGTTCCCAGGAACTGAACTAGGGGTTAACTCGGATTCAACGCTCGGGGAGGCCCTGAGTTTTGGTTGATACCAACTCTCAAATGTTCTTGTGGTATACCAATCTACACAGGGATCTTGGCCACCGTCCACCATCCGAGATTCATCTTCCGAGTCTGTGTCCGTGCCTGAAGAACTGATGGACATCTCTGTCCTTTCATCAGGTAGAGGGTCTTCAAGTTTTCCCACGCACCCCTTTGCTTCTTCTTTGGCTTCTTCTTCACGATCCTCTGGAACTTCATTTGAATCTCGGTCAACCAAAGAACCAGGTTCTTCTGCCAAAGAGTCCTCCTGACATTTTGCTTGGACAAAGGATGAGTTGCCCACATTCTCTCCTCTAGAACAATCTTCTCTGTTGCAGATAGGTTCTTCTGGACTAGCCTCTGTCTGCCCAACTTTCTCCAAAGTAGACACGTCGTAGTCATCCACGTTTGCACTGTAGTCATCTGGTGACTCAATAGTTTCGAGCCATGAACATTTGCTTTTTGGGCTGGTTGTGTCGAGCTCTGCTTGACTTGTCCCACCACTTGAGAAGATCCCCGTGGCAGCTGAGGTAGCATCATTTCCTTTTTCAGAAACATCTCCTGGATCGGACATCGTGTTCTCGTTCAATGGGGAACATGACTCTCCTCGTCCTTCTTGTAAGTCTTCTTCTTGGTCATCAAAGCTGGAACTCTCTTCTAAACGTCCCTCAGCCCATTTTACATCTGCATGGGACTGCTGACCAGTTGGGCAACCCTCATCATCACTCACGGCGGGTGTCACGCACTCCAGCAGGGCTGAATCAATCCAACCGAAGCTCTTTGGAGCCCTCATTTCTTCACTCTGAGCTACCCTGGCACACACCGTGTCTACCAATTCATTCATTAAAATGTGGACCTCTTCAGCTACAGCGGTCCTGTTAGCAGTTGGTTTTTCAATGCCATCAACGGGGACCGCTTCTTCTTCTTCTCTTGCAGAAGAGTCTCCAAGATTCTCTTGATCCAAACGCGTTTCGCTCTTGAAGGACATCTCCAATTCCGCAGCAGGTGACTTCAAGCTCAGGTATTCTGTTGCGGGCTGAGAATCCACCCAGATTTTTTCTCCCTGATTGATCTTCGGTTCCTCCTGAGTGACCGAATCGAACTCTGCAAGCTGTTCATTAACTGGCCCCAAAACATCGTCTGTTGGGTGATGTTGGGAAACTTGACAATCCTTTTGTTGGGGAATGGAAGAACCCTCAAGAAAATCCAGCTGGGCCCCAGAATCGTCCTGCAATGTTGCAGCTTCATCGGAAATTTCCTGATGGACAGGACTAGCTGGATGGTCTCCTTCAGGACTTTCAACCAGATCCATTTCTTTGGCGAGCGGAAGACATTGAGCAAATGCAACAGATCTATCTTGGTTTTCCACCGATTCCTGCCGAGTTGATACACTGTTTGGTACACACAGGTTCACACACAAGTTGTCGTTTGGTTCGCAAAGCTGCACAGCTGAATCCGTGAAGTCTGTACTGTCCTGAGAAATATCTTCAATCAAACCCATCGAATTTTGAAAAAAGGGATACAGGTGGTTATCAGGACGGTCTTCCGGGATCCTTGGTGGTTCTTCATCAGATGCTCCTTGATGGACAGGGCTAGGCTGCCATGAAGGCAGACAGGGCGAATGGATCCCACTGTCTTCCTGAGAAACTGAGGGAAGGTCAACCATATCAACTTGGTTAGGAACCCTAGGACATTCTGCCGATTCTTGTGGACTTTGTAAGGCTCTCTCTGGAGTTGTTCGAGCATTTGGGAAGTCTCTGGAAGCTTCGGTGGATGCTGAATCGGCTAAGATAGCTTCGTCGCACGAGTTCTCCACCTCGTCTGTCTGTTTTGGAGACGTGGGATCCGTGGCTGATGCAACCATCTTTTTATCAACAGTCACTGGATGGCACGAGGTCTCCTGCTGAGGGACCGTATCCATCAACCCCATTTGACTTGGAGATACAGAGCTGGAGGTTGATCCAGCCATCTTTTCATCAACAGTCACTGGATGGCCCGAGATCTCCTGCTGAGGGACCGTATCGATCAACCTCATTTGACTTGGAGATACAGAACTTGAGGTTGATCCAACCATCTTTTCATCAACAGTCACTGGATGGCCCAAGATCTTCTGCTGAGGGACTGTATCCATCAATCTCATTTGACTTGGAGATACAGAACTTGAGGTTGATCCAACCATCTTTTCATCAACAGTCACTGGATGGCCCAAGATCTTCTGCTGAGGGA